ATACAATTATGTTTCTTCAATATGTTTCTTTTATTTATGTCAGTTTTATTTTATTTTAATAAGTGTACAGTATAAAATAAACGATTATTTTCAATGCACATTGTCTTTGTTTAAAATATGAATGTTAAGTTTTAATTGTTTACAGTATTTAATAGTAAGTTACGAATGCTGGAAAACGCATCTTCATAGTGCTAATGTTATTATTTATTATACAGGGTGATTAAAAAAGATCGGCCAAATTTGAAATCGCTATATCTCTGCAACCACGAACCGCCCATGAATGAAACTCTTACCACTTGAAAGTTCGGGGCATAGAGTTTCAATTGATGACCGCGAGGATGCCTCTCTCAGCGCACAAACAGCCCCCAGCCTCAGTCATTCGCAAGATGGTGACCCACAACACAAGGGGCGTTCTGCGTTCTGCAGTTCAGAAAGACTGAATCCGTAATTGCGGTGCAGCATGCGTTTCAACGGCGTTTTGGCATTGGGTCCATCGTTATTAAACACCCCGTATCGACGAAATTTCAATCCACTCTGTATATCAAGTGCTCGATATCTAGGTATGGTAAGCTGGGGGAAGACAGCGGATTAACTTACTCAGCAATTCTAGATTTGAAGCTTTCGTGACTGCAAGTATTCATATTCTTAGGTTTTCGGTTAAGTCACGTAGGTAAAACAATTGATAAAAGTAAAATAAAAATAAAATAATATAATAAAATACGTACGTGACTTTACCGAAAACCTAAGAATATGATTACTCAGCAATGTAAACGATTGGATGCAAGTGAAAGGAGCATCTAATACAGAATTATTGAGTAAATATCGTGGAGCAGAGTTAAGTATACGGTAGGTGATGATCGCCGACGTCTTTGAGCAAATATATGGCAGATAGAGAGCTCATCGCGATCTCTGTCCCTGCCTGATGGTTGCGAGCTCTAGCAGAGGGAGGCTCCCCGAAACACGACGGATTCAATTGTTTAGGTAAACATTGAGATGTGCCCAAAAGCAGAGAAGAGTCATCCAACATGGCGCATTGCCTGCTGTTGCACGCGGATCAGAAACGAACACAAGGCAAACAACGTGGACCGACAGCTGAAATACCACGAAGTGCGCTAAGAAGTGTGGAGAGGTGCATGCTGGGAATAATAATGTTTTTTGTTCATGTTTTTGTTTTGTGTTTGTTGCGGTTGCACCCGATTCAAGAGCTGAATGGCTCACAGGGCTATACCTAATAAATAAACTTGAACTTGAATGAACTTGAACACCTGGAGAGGTGCATGCTGGGAATAACACCTGGAGAGGTGCATGCTGGGAATAACACCACGAGACTGACGTTGGGGATCACGGCAATCAGCGAACAAACACAAATTAGAGGCACGTGATGTTGGCTGTTTTCAACATAAAAGTAAGTGTGATCGGGCATGAACGCATCACGAGAATGCAACTATGACTGATGGACGAGGTTGGTGATGGAATGGAAGCCAAAGTATGGAACGCGCACGAGAGAATGTACACAGCGAAGATGGAGCGATTCGTGAGAGATGGCGAAACGACGACTCGGCAGTGGATAGATCAAGGCTGTTTATAATGATGATGCTGATACGAGCGAATACGATAGCGTTATTGGTGATGTCATCGTATGTTTACATCCCCGGGTACAGATGTGGGAAGATAAAACAAAAAATCTCCTTACCACAAAGACAGTGCACACAGGAAGGCAGAGATCGCGAGATAAAGGGACGGAGAGATACAGAGGGGATGTAAACGCGCGTGGAGATCCCACGGAGAGCTACGGGGACAGTCATATCAGAGCGATAACCTGTGATTAGAGAGCAATGGAAAACCATTAGCATGTAAAGTTAAGAAAGCTACGGATGATGTAATAGTCTTATGAGTTCAACAATTGGACCCATAACGAGATATAGGCATTAAATCAGACACACGGGCGCACCGAGAAATAGAGATGACAGAGAAGATAGAGAGATACAACATAGACACACGCACACAAATATAGACATACAGACAGGGAGACATTGAGGAGGGAGAGAGACGCGCATTCGAGTAGGACGACAGACAGAGGCATACATGGCGAAGAGAAATGGATACCACGAGAGAACATGTGTAGACGGAGAGAGACACACACATAGACACGTGTAGAGAGAGACACACACATAGACACGTGTAGAGAGACACGTGCAGTGGAGACCCTCACACAGAGAGAGACACACACACATAGACACGTGTAGAGAGACACGTGCAGTGGAGACCCTCACACAGAGAGAGACACACACACATAGACACGTGTAGAGAGAGACACACACACATAGACACGTGTAGAGAGAGACATGTAGTGGAGACCCTCACACAGAGAGAGACACACACACATAGACACGTGTAGAGAGAGACCCTCACACAGAGAGACACACACACATAGACACGTGCATAGAGAGTGACACACACACATAGACACGTGTAGAGAGACACACACACACATAGACACGTGTAGAGAGAGACACACACACATAGACAAGTGTAGAGAGAGACACACACACACATAGACACGTGTAGAGAGAGACACGCACATAGACACGTGTAGAGAGACCCTCACACAGAGAGAGAGAGAGAGACACACACACATAGACACGTGTGGAGAGAGACCCTCACACAGAGAGAGAGAGAGAGACACACACACATAGACACGTGTGGAGAGAGACCCTCACACAGAGAGAGAGAGAGACACACACACACATAGACACGTGTAGAGAGACCCTCACACAGAGAGAGAGAGAGAGACACACACACATAGACACGTGTAGAGAGAGACACACACACATAGACACGTGTAGAGAGAGACACACACACATAGACACGTGTAGAGAGAGACACACACACATAGACACGTGTAGAGAGACACACACACACACATAGACACGTGTAGAGACACACACACACATAGACACGTGTAGAGACACACACACACACACATAGACACGTGTAGAGAGAGACACACACACATAGACACGTGTAGAGAGACACACACACACACATAGACACGTGTAGAGACACACACACACACATAGACACGTGTAGAGAGAGATCCTCACACAGAGAGAGAGAGACACACACACACACATAGACACGTGTAGAGAGAGACACACACATAGACACGTGTAGAGCGAGACACACACACACACAGAGACACGTGTAGAGAGAGACACACACATAGACACGTGTAGAGAGAGATCCTCACACAGAGAGAGAGAGAGACACACACACACACACATAGACACGTGCAGAGAGAGAGACACACACATAGACACGTATAGAGAGAGACACGTGTAGTGGGGACCCTCACACAGAGACAGAGAGAGAGAGACAGACACACACGGACACACGCACCCGCCGAGCTCACAAAGAGCGCATTGATGGCGAGAGAGCCAGAGATTAAAAATAGCAAATTAATGAGAGATGCGGAGAGATGGGGGAGGGAGCGGCGGGCAGGAAAGGTAGCCGCGTCGCCACGGCGACCAGGTAAATGTTATTGCCCCTGCCCCGTCACCTGTCCGCGTGTAATCCGCGCGAGATCACCTCACTGAGCAGGCACTTCGATGTTTATCTCCAACACTGGCAACATTTCTCACAAATCATTTGTGAAGCGCATGTGTGTACACGCACACGTGTGTGTGCACACGTGTACGTGTGTGTGTACATGCACGTGTGTGCACACGTGTACGTGTGTGTACACGCACGTGTGTGTACATGCATGTATGTGTGTATATACATGCATGTATGGGGGTACATACACACACGTGTGTGCACATGCACGTGTGTGTACACGCACGTGTGTGTACATGCATGTATGTGTGTATATACATGCATGTATGTGGGTACATACACACACGTGTGTGCACATGCACGTGTGTGTACACGCACGTGTGTGTACATGCACGTGTGTGTACATGCATGCGTGTACATGCATGTATGTGTACATGCACGTGTGTGTACATGCATGTACACGCGCACACACATGCATGTACACACACACGTGCATGTACACACGCACACAACATGCACGTGTGTGTGCGTACGTATACATGCACATGTGTGTGTACATGCACGTGTGTGTATACGTGTACATGCATGCGTGCACGACGTTCAGTAGTACTTGGTGCGATGTTGTAAACATCACCACTGGGGAGACAAAGGCGGTCGGGCATGGTTCTGCTACGGGCATTCATAGGTGCTACTCGCGATCAACACTTTCCCCGCCAGCCTGTTGAATTCTCTGCCGGGGATATTTGTATTTGTCTCTGCGTATGTACAAGTCTCTGATACATCTGCACGTGTTGCTTGTGTCGGTTCACGGTGTACGGGTCTTGTGTCAACGTGTTTGTGCACGCACGTGTACCGCGTACAGCGAACGCCAGTGGCGTTCATCTGAACCGGTTCTGGTCCTCCCCTAGGTCGACTCAGCCTTCGAGTGCGTACCTGGCGCGATGTGTCAAACATTGGACGCGAAGGCGGCCGGGCGTTGTGCTGGCCACCTACCCCCATGGCCTCACAGGTGCTACTCGCTAACAGCATACGGGGAGAAGTTCCACTTTGTCTATGTTGTCTTGTGTATATGTATAGGTGGGTGTCCGTGCATGTCTTACGTATATACTGTGTTCCACGTAAGACCTTAGTGTAAATAAAAGACACAACAATAACACTGTGTGCTTTTATCCGGGATTAGCCGAACCGCCCGTATTATGATGAGGCTGGGACATTTGCATTCGTGTTTAAAATTAATCCAGGGAGGATATAGACGACAAGAATGTTGCAGTGTGTGTGGGGGGGTGGGGGAGCGAGTGACGTAGCCGATACGAGACGGCCGCTGGCGACGGATCGACGGACATCAGGAGACGTAGCAGACAGAAGGGACAGGGGGGACCGGAGGGCGACCGGAGGGGGTCAGGAGGGGGACAGGGGGGGAGGGGGGGAAGGGGGAGGGGGGAGAGGGGAGGGGGGAGGGGGGGGGAGGAGGGGGGGGGGGAGGGGGGGAGGGGGGGGGGGGGAGGGGGGGGGGGGGAGGGGGAGGGGGGGGAGGGGGGAGGGGGAGGCAGGGGGGAGGGGAGGGGGGGGAGGAGGGGGGAGGGGGGGGAGGGGGGGGGGGGGGGAGGGGGAGGGAGGGGGGGGGGGGAGGGGGAGGGGAGGGGGGGAGGGGGGAGGGGAGGGGGGGGGGAGGGGGGGAGGGGGAGGGGGGAGGGGGGGGGGGGGGAGGGGGGAGGGGGGGGGGGGGGGGGGGGGGGGAGGGGGGGGAGGGGGGGGGAGGGGGGGGGAGGGGGGGGAAGGGGAGGGGGGGGGAGGGGGGGGAGGGGGGGGGGGGAGGGGGGGGGGAGGGGGGGGGGGGAGGGGGGGGGGAGGGGGGGGGGGGGGGGGGGGGGGAGGGGGGGGGAGGGGGGAGGGGAGGGAGGGGGGGGGGAGGGGGGGAGGGGGGGGGGGGAGGGGGGGGGAGGGAGGGGGGAGGGGGGGGGAGGGGGGGGGGGGGGGGGGGGGGGAGTGGGGGGGGGGAGGGGGGGGGGGGGGGGGAGGGGGGAGGGGAGGGGGGGGGAGGGGAGGGGGGGGGGAGGGGGGGGGGGGGGGGAGGGGGGGGGGGAGGGGGGGAGGGGGGGGGGAGGGGGGGGGGGGGAGGGGGGGGAGGGGGGGGAGGGGGGGGGGGGGAGGGGGAGGGGGGGGAGGGAGGGGGGGGGGGGGGGGGGAGGGGGGGGGGGGGGGGGGGAGGGGGGGGGGGGGGGGGAGGGGGAGGGGGGGGAGGGGGGAGGGGGGGGGAGGGGAGGGGGAGGGGGGGGAGGGGGGGGGGGGGGAGGGAGGGGAGGGGGGGAGGGGGGGGGGGGGGAGGGAGGGGGGGAGGGGGGGGGGAGGGGGGAGGGGAGGGGGGGGGAGGGAGGGGGGGGGGAGGGGGGAGGGGGGGGAGGGGGGGGGGAGGGGGGGGGAGGGGGGGGGGAGGGGGGGGGGGGAGGGGGGGAGGGGGGGGGGGGGGGGGGGGGGGGGGGAGGGGGGAGGGGGGGAGGGGGGGGAGGGGAGGAGGGGGGGGGGGGGGGAGGGGGGGGGAGGGGGGGGGAGGAGGGGGGGGGAGGGGGAGGGGGGGGAGGGGGGGAGGAGGGGGAGGAGGGGGAGGGGGGGGAGGGGAGGGGGGAGGGGGGGGGAGGGGGGGGAGGGAGGGGAGGGGGGAGAGGGGGGGGGGGGGGGGGAGAGGGGGGAGGAGGGGGGAGGGGGAGGGGGGGGGGGGGGAGGGGGGGGAGGGGGGGAGGGGGGGGGGGAGGGGGGGGGGAGGGAGGGGGGGGGGGGGGAGGAGGGGGGGAGGAGGGGGAGGGAGGGGGGGGGGGGGGGAGGAGTGGGGGGAGAGGATGGGGGGGAGGGGGGGGGGGGGGGGAGGGGGAGGAGGAGGGGGAGGGGAGGGGGGGGAGGGGGAGGGGGGGGGGGGAGGGGGGGGGGGGGGAGGGGGGAGGAGGGGGGAGGGGGGGAGGGGGGGGAGGGGGAGGGGGGGGAGGGGGAGGAGGGGGGGAGGAGGAGGGGGAGGAGGGGGGGGGAGGGGGGGGAGGAGGGGAGGGAGGGGGAGGGGAGGGGGGAGGGGGGGGAGGGGAGGGGGGGAGGGGAGGAGGGGAGGGGAGGAGGGGGGGGGGGGGAGGGGAGGGGGGGGGGGGGGAGGGGGGGGAGGGGGGAGGGGGGGGAGGAGGGGAGGGGGGGAGGGGGAGGGGGGGGGGGGGAGGGAGGGGGGAGGGGGGGGAGGGGAGGGGGGAGGGGGGAGGGGGGGGGGAGGGGGGGGGAGGGGGGAGGGGGGAGGGGAGGAGGGGGAGGGGGGGGGGGAGGGGGGGGAGGGGGGAGGGGGGGGAGGGGGGGAGGGGGGAGGGAGGGGGGGGGGCGGGAGGGGAGGGAGGGGGGGGGGGGGGGGGAGGGGGAGGGAGGGGGGGGGGGGGGGGGGGGAGGGGGGAGGGGGGGGGGGGGGGAGGGGGAGGGAGGGAGGGGGGGGAGGGGGAGGGGAGGGGAGGGGGGGGGGAGGGGGGGGGAGGGGGGAGGGGGGAGGGGGAGGGGGGGGGGAGGGGGGGAGGGAGGGAGGGGGGGAGGGGGGGGGGGGGGGAGGGGGGGGGGAGGGAGGGGGGGAGGGGGAGGGGGGAGGGGGGGGGAGGGGGGAGGGGGGAGGGGGGGGGGGGGGGAGGGGGGGGGGGGGGGGGGGGGGAGGGGGGGGGGGGAGGGGGGGGGAGGGGGGGGGGGGGGAGGGGGGGGGGGGGGGGGGGGGGGGGAGGGGGGGAGAGGGGGGGGGGGGGGGGGAGGGGGGGGGGAGGGAGGGAGGGGGGGGGGGACAGGAGGGGGTCAGGAGGGGGTCAGGAGGGGGGCAGGAGGGGGGACAGGAGAGGGGACAGGAGGGGGTCAGGAGGGGGGACAGGAGGGGGGCAGGAGGAGGGACAGGAGGGTGACAGGAGGGGGGACAGGAGGGGGTCAGGAGGGGGTCAGGAGGAGGGACAGGAGGGGGACAGGAGGGGGGACAGGAGGAGGGGGACAGGAGGGGGGACAGGAGGAGGGGGTCAGGAGGGGGACAGGAGGGGGACAGGAGGGGGACAGGAGAGGGACAGGAGGGGGACAGGAGGGGGACAGGAGAGGGACAGGAGGGGGACAGGAGGGGGACAGGAGGGGGACAGGAGAGGGACAGGAGGGGGACAGGAGAGGGACAGGAGAGGGACAGGAGGGGGGACAGGAGGAGGGGACAGGAGGGGGGACAGGAGGAGGGGGACAGGAGGGGGACAGGAGGGGGACAGGAGGGGGGACAGGAGGAGGGGGACAGGAGGGGGACAGGAGGGGGGACAGGAGGGGGGGGGGGGGACAGGAGGATGGACGCCCGGGCACTCATCACAGGCACTTGCGGAGAGCGCCGTTCGAAATCACCGACTGAGACCGACACTTAAACACGTCGGTCGGGAGCTCTTAAAACACCACCCTGGAGGGAAGGTACCACCGCATCATTCTTCAAAATCAACTCGACACATTCGTCAACACCGCAACCTCATACTACTGAAGGGGGGCTCCGCCCTGTTTCAAGGTTATCGGCCAGTACATGATCCGGTATTCGTCTGCTCAAGCTGCGGTCAGCGTAGCCTCCCCACGCTGGCTCCACGTTGCTCATGACGATGCCCAAAGTGCAACGGCCCCATGATTTGCCCAGAGGGCCCGACGGGTGACCGCCACGGGATGGGCAGGCTGCCTCTGACCTGCGTTCGTCTGCTGTGCCCGCTCGTGACCGGAGAGAGCTCCAACGCAGATGATTTCTGTGGGGCACTGCAGATGGCGCATTCGGGAAAGGCGGTGGCATTTGGATGTGGGTGCGCTGCCTATGCTAGAGCGGTTAACATTGGTCGAGAATGTTTATAAAGCGCTTCTCGTCTTATGCTACAAACTAGGACGGCCCGTACATTTACGTGGGGTATAACTCTGAGGTTGGAGGAGAGGGGGGGAGGAGGTGACGTCATCACGTAGGTGTGCGCGGTGACGTCGTCACGCGTGTCCGCCCCCGCGCCAGCCAGCCAGCCAGCCAAACTTGTTTTTAGTGAACGAAACTATTTTTGTAAAAATTTGCCAGGCATGGCCCACTGAGCTATACAGCTCCTTTTCAGAAGCGAGCTGGTCTTGATCCACGAAGTGGCTTATCACGTGGAAATGTACAGCTGCCAACTACTCTAAACGCATGAGATTGTCTGATAATGGTAAATGATGCACTGCTGTTAATCGGTTTGCTCCCACTTCCGATGAATGTTTTTTAAATATGACCGAGAACCGGTTCTTCTACAACGGACAATAAGAGACGGCTGTAATTTTCTTTTTAATAATCCTGTACTCGGAGTACTAAAGGTTATCTGAAATTTTACGTGCTAAAATGCCAATATAATTTGCATTGCGAGGTTTTTTTTTATATTCTCTAGGATTTATAGAAGATTGTTCCGATATAATTCAATTAATGGGAACACAAATGGAAAACTTAGCGAAAATGTCACTTAACTATGTCCGTCTCCTGTATTCGTTACTCCCACTTGTTCATTGTCGCTTTAAAGTATGTCTTCCGAACTTCTTCCTCCGTTTCAAGTCAACTCGATGTTTATTTGTAAACAGAAAACAAATCACGTGGGGCTAGTCACCCAGCGAGCTTCGGTGGCAACGGCCTGCAGCTGCGACCAACCGAGTTATCATTGGGATGGTAAGGAGCCCAGCCAGCAGCGAGCAATGATTGCTTGCAGTAATAGGATGATATCTGCAACACCTAAACGGGTACCTAGAGCGTAACATCACGTCCTTTCGTTATCACCTTAAAACAACTACACTTAATTTCCCGTTGAAAATAAAAAAACCACTCAGACCTCACATACTCAACTGCAGCCGTAGTCGCTCCTCCCGGTGCATGAGTGGAGGTTTTCATAACTTACCAGAGAGACGGCGTCTCTGTGCCACACTGCGCTGACGCTGGTTTTGATCTCCTCTGTGAGTCTGTGTTTCTCCCCTGCATCCACTGCATGCATTTGCCGTGGCTCCCGCCCACCAAACGTAGAGAATCACTCAGAGCTCTTCTCCCATCGTACTGCGAGCAGAAGCGACCTGGCCACAAATGATCGCTCAACGAAGTGGTTTATCACGTGCACATTTAAAGCAGCCAAATACTCTAAACGCATGTTTCCAAATGTGGAGGGGAAAAAAGCCGGAGGACCCGGAGAAATATCCACGCGACCATGGAGAGAGAGAGACAGAGAGAGACTCACAATCTCCAAATATTTAACCCACGACCTCCTGCATACCAGGTGAGGGCGTTAACATCTCGCCACCGTGGCGCACCAACCTACATGTGCTCTAGCAACATCCCAAGTGTCTTGATCATTATCCTGCGTAAATTTAAGAGTACACTACAGTTCATGGCTGCAAACAAGACTCTAATTGCAAACGAAGCTAATTTGTTTTTCACACTTGAGTGCCTTGACTGTGCTCCTCTGTTCCGGACATCTGACTCAACTCCATTCACCGTTTACGCTACTGCACCAATTGTCACATCTGATCCACGTAAAGCTTCCTTGATCCTCGACTCGTTAACCACTGACGTCATTTATGGGCAGGCCTGGGTAAAGCGGCTTCAACCATTCCACGTTCCCCTTGGTGCGTGTGATAACAGAGATTCCCTCTGTTTCCTGAACTTCTCAACGTATTTTTGAGCACGTCGCTTGAGAAGCCCTCCCCACGTGTGTCTCCAGCGGAATTCCCATCTGCTACACAGATATGAAGGGAAGCCGCGCAATGATCGAGCGCAGAGTTGACTCTCTTCGGTGCATCACGTTCTGTATGCGGGCTCCCTCGTTATGAGAATCTCGACTGCTGAATCTGCAACTTGCCACGGAGAGGTGGGGCCTTAACATAACCCATCCAAAACATTCACACGCAAACCTGCACACACATTCATGCACATATACACTGTCACAATCACACCCTCTCCCACCCACCACCCACATACATTCAAAGACAAAGACAAAGACACATATCTCCCGCATAACTCTAATAGGCTGTTGGGGCAAGTGCTGTTAGCGAGCACCTATGAAGGCCGGAATGGTACACGAGGGGGTGGGTGGCCAGCACCACGCCCGACCGCCTTTGTCTCCCCAGTGGCGATGTTTACACACCCCACCAAGTAATAATTTGAGGCTGAGTCGACCTAGGGGAGGCCCAGGACCGGTTCAGATAATCGTCACTGGTGTTAGCCGTGAGCGGGAATCGAACCCGGGTCGCCAGGTTCATAGCACAGCGCGCTAACCGCTACACTACCGCTCCCCTAACTCACATACACACACCCACTCACATACACACAGACTCAGACCATCCCCAACACCCACATACAATAATATATACACCCACCATGGGACACACCAAAATAAGCAGCACTCATTACTGGAGCCCACGTGTCGTTCATCGAGGATGAGCTATGTTTATCTTTGTTGCCATTAAATCTTTCACAAAACACGTTGGAAACTAATCCATATAAATCGTCCTGAGAGACACGTGGCAAGGAGTTAACGTATTTCTTTTAAATACATTTTCCTCCACAAGATCATCTTCATCATCATCATCATCAATGAATCACATTTGTTATCAATCATCACGATCAATTAAAGTATTATCATAAATACAAAATACAATAAATACGGAAATATATAATCATAGATATCCATCATTAAAGAATCATCGATATTAATCTGCCTGGAATATTAGACATTAACTAAATAATAATGTAGAGGATCATCATTACCGAAACCTTGTCATTCATCAAAGGCTCGTCTTCACGGTAAGTCATCCATATAAACATTGTCATAGCAGTCAATCCTATAGAGTCAAACCGACATAATCACTACCATCATCAGAAACACTCACTCATACGCATCGCACACCATGCGTACACATAAACCTACCTACTCGCGCAGACATTCCTTCCTTATTCGATGGACTGACTGTAGGGGACAATTACTGTTTGAGATCACCTGACAGGACTGACACGGCACACATGGATATACCAATGCATAGGTATACTCCCAAAAACTCACGTACACGAACGCACGAATACGCACACATGCACACGCATGCACTCACCCACAACAAAGTACTCTCACTCGCGCATCGATCCGCGCGTTCCCACTTACGCACAAACTCACCACAACAATATACTCTTACACGCTCACACAACAACAACAGCAATATCCACCACTCGCAGATTAAGTGTCGGTGACGTCAACAAAGCATCGATTTGAAGCTTTCGTGACTGCAGGGATTCATCTTCTTGGTTCTTTCGGTAAAGTCACGTAGAAGGGAAGTAATAAAATAATAAAAATAAAACATAATAAATAATTCTCACGACGTTTCGGCCACAACGCAAGCAGGACGGCTGCTTGCGTTGTGGCCGAAACGTCGTGAGAATTATTTTATTATGTTTTATTATTTTATTATTTTATTACTTCCCTTCTACGTGACTTTACCGAAATAACCAAGAAGAAGGTCAACAAAGCACTTTTGCCAGGCCAAGAGCAATAAGTATCGGAAGACTTGCTGGCAAGAGGTCACGGGTCATGCTCTGGTGTTATGGGTTAACCCATGTGAAAGAACAACTGCATCACTTACGCTCCCCACTGTATCTACTCGCATTATTTTCACCACCCGGCGCTCTGCTCATTGTTTGGTGAGCGTCTATTTTCCACCTCTCATTGCAGCTGGAGGGTGACTTGCCTCAAACTGCCCAGTGGCGTCTTTTGTG